TCTAAAGACAAAAAAAAAAAAAAAAAAAAGGGGGGGGGGGGGGGGGCCAACCTAGTATGTGCAAGTTGTAACTAACAAAGTGAGTGTGTAATGTTTTGTGCATTTTTCAGTAAATGTTCTCGTCCTTGCTTTCTTCCTTTTGAATAAAATATTTCCTCTTTACAGATGAACAGAGCATAAGATATTTCTATTAGCATCCTATCACACTCTCATACATCTGCCAACTTGCCTTCACCCACAGTCCACAATTTCCTGATAATCGGAGTGCCTTAGAGCTGGCAAGAATAAAGCTGATGTCAGTCATTTTACACTAAATCAAGGCATATTAGCTTCACACCTCTGCCTCACTGTCTTCTCATGCTTTTATACCTCTCACCCATTGGGAACAATAATTAGTCCTTCATTAAGTCCTTGGAAATTCCGCTAATGGACTCAGCTATTCAGCTGACTTCATTTAGGCTGCAAATCTAGTGACAGTGGTTAAGGACAAAACTCCGTGTCATGACTTCATCTGGCACCGGCTCAATTAAGGCTGGAGTTGCAGCAGGAGTTGTGGAGGAGACCTCAGATGTTCTGCCTCCACTCGCGGCTCCTGCTGGAGTGTAGATGGAGGAAAAAGGAGGAAGCAGAGCGAAGTGATGATGGGTGGAAGTCGAGCCAATGTTTAGCATTTCCTGTGGGAGTCACATCAGATCCGCTCAAGCGGAGTGCAAACATCTTTCAGCATCTTCGCCAAGGAATCAGTGCAGCTGTGGACAGTGCACGTCTGACCCCGGAATAAAAATAAAAACACAAAAACATAGGCAACACTGTCTAATATGGTGAACCGGTGACCATCTGGAAAGCGCTACAGTTCAAATACAGGCCACGGATCGTGCAGCAGCACAGCCATATAATAACATTCAGTTTCAATCAATCTTGCAGCTTTGCTTTCACTGCAAAAGCATCCATCGCAGGGATTTCTTCATTTTGCATGGATTTATATTCATGCCTGAATAATGAATGCATTATGACACATCTTGAGTACAGAAAAAGGTTTTTTACATGCACATACATTACTGTATTATACAAAGCCTGAGAGGTTTCATGAATATAGTTTTATTTTGAGATAATTGGATATACTTTGGATTCTGGTGGGTAATATGTGTGCGTTTTGGGTTATCATTAAGATCCCATAAATAAATCTTACAGGGTAATAGCCTGTTTCACTGGGGCCTGGACATTTACGCATTAACAGAAGATGTTCTCTTTGAGCAAATAAAGTATCGGGTTGTGTCAGGGTTACAGAAAAAGGATTAAAGGGGTGTTTTGCTTTGGACTGCCTCATTTGTAACCTTAATGATACTAGTCCAGAGTTGCCTGTTTTTCCTTTAACACATACAGAAAAAAATGCAATCCTGTCTAGTAGGTTTCTTTTTCTTCATTTTATTTGTTACAACATTATTTACCAATGTTACTATTTGATTCATTGCAGAATAGTTAGCCTAAGGCTTGTTTTCTTCCACTGTGACCAGGCAGGCCAACAATTAAAATGTCCACAGAGCGATACAACAACAGCAAGTGAGACGAAACTAACCTGACAAAACATAGACAAATTACACACACTCACACATATACACTTTGTCTTAAACGTATCAGAGAAATTATAAGCAAGAATATTTGAATACCAGTCCAAACAAATATAACACAGGTCAATATAGAGCCAGGAGTGGGCAGATTTTATAGTGATGATGTTAAATTGGCTTCTTTCCATTTTTTTTTTTTTTGAGCAAAGATTCTAGTGGTTTGCTTTGGCTTTTATTTTGTTGAGAAAGAGCCAAGTTACCTTTAGTGGCTATTTTAATTTGACATGTTTCTTAAAATTAGCATTTAAGCCAGGGATATGTCAATTTAGAAACCACATCAATCTTCTCACCCTTAATTAAAAGCAACTTTACTGTCCTTTTGATAGCATTAGTTAACTTCTTTAGCTCAGCACACATTATTAAATCTACTCCATGACACCATAACGGAAGGCAGAGTTTTCATAAGGAGGCCAGTTGGCTGACTACTTGTCCAGCAGACTATTTTATCACAAAAAATGTTGAGTTTTGATTTACAAGCGCAGATTAGCTCTGTGCTTATTACTGTCACGGTACTAGGTCTGCGATCCAGGATTTGTGTTTCTGTTCTGTTATTATAATCTTTGATTATTGTTGTTGGTTTTTTAAGTTCTCAGTTATCTTAGTTCTTCCTCTCTTAGTGTTTATCCCAGCCTGTGTTTAATCTCTGTGTTAGTTCATCTCCTGTGTCTCCCCAGTCAGTCGTGTCTCCTTGTCAAATCCACGTCTCCATGCCTGTCTCATGTTTCCTGTTTTATTTTGATAGTCCTGTCCTGTGTGTGGTGTATTCTGCTTTGCTTCCTTGGTCTCTTTATGTCTAATTAAACCCAGCTGTTCTCTCCTCCTGTGTCTTGTTCCCTTGCTATTCCTGTCCCTCTGTCCGTTGTTGCGTCGTACCACTCCCATGTGCTCTGTGGTGTGTGTGTTTCCTCCATGTTCCTCGTCATTCTCGCTCCTAGTTTAAAGTTTCTAGTTTCCCAGTGTCTTAGTTCCTTGTCCTTAGTTTCTAGTTCTCTGGTTTTTGATTTTTGTTTCTAGTGTATTTTTTGCTACAGCACAATTAAAGCTGCCTCTTTGAGTGTGTGATGAGTGAGATGAACATTTGGGTCCACATCCTGCCTGCCACTCAGCAGAATGTGAAAATTACACTTTTTGATCTTTCAATATCTGCCCTGCCTCTCTGCACTTTTTTAGAATGTCAGTACGCAAATTTAGGCTTTGACGGCCAAAACTCAACTAAACCCTAAAGATCATAGATATACAGACATATTAGTAAGGGGGCCTAGCACTGATCCTTGAGGAACACCTACTATGCTCAAGATGCATAAGTCTAAAGAAGTAAGTCAGTGAAATAGTGTGAAAAGATGGTTTGAAGCTGAGATGGTTTACATGTAAAATGTCGTTAAAGAAAATTAAGATAATGGGAAACTCAAACTACACCTTTCCATAGTTTGTTTTTAAAGTAAGCACTTCATTTGAAGACAATTTTAATTGAATATCCCTGTTACAGAGCCAAAGCATACGTGATGCAAACCCGAAATGCTGATATTAAGTTGTTCAAAGATGCCATGAACCAGGGCTTTCTACCTGGGGTTTTATTAGTATTTGAAATTTAGGAGTTGTGAGTTATTGTCTTGGTTTTGATTTCCATTCTTTCTTCAGAGCTTCTGGTTCTTCGTGTTGTTTTCAGGCCATTCTGGTTTCACACGTTTTCATTAGTGTTTGGTTGTTCTTATGTTCCAGGTATATCCTCTGTTAGCACAGTTTGTTTTCTCACTGTTCCCTTTCCACAGTTCTTCACTTTTATCCATTCACTAAAGTTCTTGTCTCTGTGTCTCCTTGTTCCAGTTTTCGGTTTTTATTTGTTCTGTGCCTTGTTTCCCCAGCTGTGTCTGATTCCCCTGATTAGCCCTCGGTGTGTGCATTAGTGTATATATTGTTCTGCCATTCCTTCAGTTCATTCAGTTTGCCTTAAGATATATGCTGATGCATTTGTAAAAACATTTGTATGAGTAACTGCAATATTTCTTGCAGTCATGGTTAAATTATGATCGGATAAGCCAGTAATCAAATTGAATTAGCTTCTCTTTCTATAGAAATATTACGTCTAACTAGGTACTTCAGAGCTTCACAATACTTGCTGAGGCTTTTATAAAATGAGCTGAAAGCAGCTCTACTGCAGAAAAGGCCTGAGCATGGAATCATGTTTCAGAGAAACACAGACATAATGGAGTTCCACAATGGAAAGCCAAAAAATGACTAATTACTAAAGTTAAACATGAGACCGTGCGACTGATACAAATGCAACAAGGAAGCACTCGGTATATATTTAGTAACATTGTGTAGCAAGTTACAAAGCTGTGGTTTTACATTTAGCTTTAATGAAAGTAGTTCATCTTTTCTTGAACTGTAAAAGCATTAAGAACCTTATTTGAGCCTAAATACATCTATAGGAAACTCTCAATAAGACCATCAAAAGGGCTTTTTCACCCAAATAAGCATTTTCATAATATTTATGTTCCACATAATCTTAAAAACAGCATACCCTTTGAGCATAGTCATACATGTTGGTCCATCTTATATATTATTATCACACAGAAAGTGATCACTAAGTATAAGTTATTTATTGTTTTCTCTAATTAAGCAAGCACACTCACAGGCCACCTTGTTAGGTAAACCTCTTCAACTGCTCTTTAATATAACTAATAAACCAGATGACATTTAGGCATATAAAGTTCAGACTTAGCATTGGAATAGCAAAGAAAGACAATTTTGGTGACTTTGAACGTAGCATGGCACAAGATAGGCTGGTCTGAGTATTTCAGAAATTGCTCATCGGGATTTTCCCACACAGAAAACTCTCTGGGTTCTCTGGGTGAAAATGCCTTGTTGATCCCAGAGGTCAGAGGAGAATGGCCAGACTGCTAAAAGCTGTCAGAAAGGCAACACTAACTTAAATAACTACTCATTACAACCAGTATATGTAGAACACACATCAAACCTTGAAGGTGGTGGGCTACAGCAGCAGAAGACAACACTGGGTGCACCTCCTGTCAGCTACGAACAGGAAACTGAGGCTAAGATTCGCGCAGCCTAATCAAAATTGGACAAAAACATTGCCTGGTCTGATGAGTCTTGACATGTGCCGCAACATTTTGATGATAGGCCCTGAATTTAGTATAAACAACATTAAAGCATGGGGCAACCTCGGTCTCTGAGGAGGGTTTCCAGCACCTTGGTGAATCTATGCTGCCAAGAATTAAGGCATCTATGAAAGCAAAACTTGGTCCTAAAACTTCTATGAGCCATTTGTAAGCTATCAAAATTCAACAAGATGCTTTTATGTTCAGCATCTCTCAGCAGCACACACAGAAAGGAACAAGATGTTGTGAAACTTACTGTCATTAGAACCTTGATTTTCATCCCAGGTACGCACGTAGTCATCCTGCAGAAAGAGGAAGAAAACACTACTTTACCATCTGCTGCCAAGACAAGAGAGTCAGGTAATTCACAGTGAGTGCACAGTGCTGCTGATATTATAAAATACAGCATGGACACTGCTATCATCACAGTGGAGAAGTGATGTAGTTTACATTATCACTGGACACTGATTATAATGTGAACACTGGCATGATAATTAGCTAAGTGAGTCACACAAGAGATTGTGGCTGTACATTCTTTATGGAAATGAGCTCAACAAATCTGCACACTCTGCCTATATTTGAGACATATGGTATCAGGGGTGAGCTGCCTTTTAAGAGCTCTGCCTTTTTACCCCTGTTTAATTAGAACATTAATCGCTCTAATTAAAATGGGCAAATTGAAAGAGATTTTGCAAAAAAGGGAGGAAAGATGGATGGTGAGGCAAAGATAAAGACACACAAAGAGACAAGGAAATTACTCATGAATGCAAAAGACACTGGACAAAGGCGGCTATAAGAGAGCTGTACAAAAAGTGAAGAGAACTGACCTCTACCTCCTGGTGAAATGACAGCAAAAGGAGAGAAAAGAGTCGATATTAGTCAAGAAGAAAAGTGCAATTTTGGACAGAGCGTATTAAGCTGTATTCAAGACATCATGAGGACACAAAAAAGACTTTGTAAGTTCATTTTTAAATCACTTAGAGCCTGATTTTATAATAATATATGTAACAAAGTCTTTTGTTGCTTAATTTTGTTTATTACCACAAATTTAGAAGATCAGATCAGATTAGATTTGACTGAGAGAGGCCCACCAACATTAGGAAAGTGGTTTCACCTTATCACTAAATGTAACTGAATGAAGGCTGGTGCATAAAAACACACAATATTAAATTTTCCCAACACTGCTTCACCACAAACCTAAACAAGGTAAAAAAAGGTGGAAAAGAAGGGTAATGAGTATCGTAAGAATACAAGGTGACAGATGTCTCAACCTGTAGTTGGTGGCACATATGACATTTCAGTTTTCTACCTGTTTCATCTTCAGGTTTGGGACACCTGTCAGTACTTTCCTGATGCAATTTATGTCCTGATATAAATACACAGTGGCAAACTGCATTAAAAATACAGTAAATTTTGTACACTGAATCGCTGAAACAGAATGCCTCTGTACATTTTTATGGTATTAAACTGCATTTCTTTTCTGGCATGACTCATCAGAATATACAGGTTTATTTGTGATTTACAATGTTTGCATGTTACTGACTGACGTGTCGCGGTTTACCTACATACAGCAGCATTCCCTTTGTGGTGTAGTGCAAAGCTAATAGCTCAAAGAAATTGAATGACAGATAAAGATGCAAGAATATAAAGTGGTACCTGGGTGTCTCTGGGTGACAGCTGCACTGAAAACCCCCTGTCATTGCTTTAGCCCCTCATAGTTTGCACGGAAGATGCTAACTGGTTTGCAAACACTTGCCAACTCCTCACCAAGCAGCAGCAGTGAAACTGTGAAATGACTTCACCAACAGAGTTGCTGAGGATACCCTGAGCTTTTCTGCTGGTCTGCTGTTTTTACCGCTGTTAGCTGCTGTTAGCCTCTGTTAGCCAGTGTTAGTGAAACTTTCTTCTAAGTGGATCTAATATTGTTAGACTCTGCTGCTGAGTGAATAAACTCTAATACAATGTAAGAATGTCAAACAAAACAAAAGAAAACAAATGTTTATCAAAGGGAATGTTTGATTTTTTTTTGGATGTTTAAGCCTAACATTAGCTAGACTAACATTAGCTTATATCCAGCTACTGTTGCTGTTGTTAAGCCAGTTGTCTGGAGACGGGAAGATTGCATGTTTAACCTGTTAACAATAAGTAACTGTGACAATATTGGAGGTGAATAGTTATGTTTTTGCATGTCTGTATGTGTTAGAGCCCTGACTTCCGTTCAGGAGATGAGGCTTCAGGTAATGAGGAAGAGGAAGAGGTGGAAATAAGGGAGGAGAGAGACATAGTGACAAAGAGATGATGAAAATATAGATGTGCAGGTGTTAAATGTCATATATAGTTTGAAGGAGCTATTTGTGATGCTTAAATTAAAAGTAACTTATAAGGTGTGCTACATATGAGGCCAGTCTCTAGCCACATAGATGTGATTAGGGGGAACTATTAGGCGGGCCACCATGGCAGCATCTACCTGCTCCTATGCATTTTTAATGGATTAATACTAAGTTTATGAGAATGCATCAATTTTCTAAATAACCTGAAGAAATTACTAACTGTACCTTTAAAAATTGTTATTTAACATCTTGATTGACATGGGGAAAAATGAATTTTTAAAACACTTCAGCTTGTATTTTGGGGCTCTTCATCATCTGCCTGCAGGAGCTCCTACTTAGGATGGAGGATATGCAACATGTCTGACAGAAACCTCTGTGTCTGTCTGAGTACAGACTGCTCAGAAATGGACTGAACCAGATGCAACGGCTTAGATTTTGCCTGTACACATAAGCTGCCATAACCACAACGTCTCATATTTCATGAGTTGTCGTGTGTTCTCCGAGACTTTCAGCCTGCGTAAAAAAAAAAAAAAATACAGCCTTTGCTGCAAAGGAGAACTCAAATTACCAGTGTGGTCATTCCAACTCAAAAGGTAATTTAGATAAATACCAAGATACCTAGAGGATTTAACTTGGCAGGTTATCATGAGGAAGTTGGTATGTGGAGGACACTGTTTGTGTTCATCTGAAGACAACCAGTGTCCTCCAGCCACCACTTGCCAACCAGCCAGGGAATACATATTTTTCCCCAGTGATCAGGGGATGCCACTCATTCTCCAGTGGGTCTTTAGTCCTGTGTGACAACGGAATAATACTTTATGGCAAAAAGCCGTTTATACAGATTACAATATAACTGCCAAAGTAACAGTAAAATTCTGCAAAGCTTCTACTTTTGTGTACACACACAGTATGATAAGTTGTTGTTATTGTAGATTAGTTCAGGCACACGGTTAACCCTTTAAACCCTGACCTAATTTACCCTTTAAACAAGGGGAAGGAAACTCCAGGCCTCAAGGGCCGGTGTCCTGCAGGTTTTAGATGTGTCCTTGATCTAACACAGCTGATTTAAATGGCTATATGACCTCCTCAACATGTCTTGAAGTTCTCCAGAGGCCTGGTCATGAACTAATTAATTGATTCAGGTGTGTTGACCCAGGGTGAGATCCAAAACCTGCAGGACACCGGCCCTCGAGGCCTGGAGTTGCCCACTCTTGCTAAAAATGCTAACCGTCACCGGTGACGGGTTAGGGTTTAAAGGGTTAAAGAGTTTAATGTTAGCAAAACAAGTGTTTGGAGCATATTGCCATGTCTGAAATAATAAATATGAGTCATTTTAGGATATTTACAATCGGCCACCATCCCTCCTTAGCGACGACTGACTCATAACTGTAAACATTTACTGTACTGGGAGAATGTGCCAAACCGCTCCCCTGAAGGTGATATATCCCAACACAACAAGAGAGAAAAGCAGCCGTTGTGAAAGCCAGGATCGTCTTTTTTGACCCTCACCACTGCAACACAGAGAAGTAAGTATTTTCATCACTAGCAAAGGCTCCACTTGTGATTTAAAATCTACCCCAGTGCAGCTCAGATGCTCTGCTCATCCTCTGCTCGCTGCAGTGCCAAGCTTATTCCCCCTCCTTTGGTAACCTGGCTCGCGTCTAAATCTTAACTCAACACTACAGATGAGCTTTATGGACGATTCCTGGTTATGCAGTTTAACCTTGTCTGGTCTGATGGAGTCACACATTTAGAGTGTAGACATCAAAGAGTTTACAACCTGGGCATTAATCTGATGCCTCCCATGCCTCTCTTATTGATGCTACAGCTCCTGCATTATTTAGCAGCCTTTCTGTATTTGTGATTCTGCCAGGACTGATGAGGAAACCGTCCTGCTGCGCTGACAGGACTGGAAATCAATGATTTCATAGAAGAGAGACAGCAGAAAATGTATTCGGGGAAAATAAATTCTCCTGAGTGCAAACTGAAAGTGAGCATGAAACGCGGAACAAGACGACAAGTTTGGCAAGCAGCGGAGAAATTACATCACCTCAAATATGATTCACAGACCAGTACTCTGATGAAAACACTGCTGGCTTTTACACAGAAGTGATTAGAGGTAGCAGGCAGCGAGAGATGAAAACACTCAGGTGCATCCAGGAGTTCTGTGATCTAACTGATAACATCAGAAAGATCTCCTCTTGTTAAACAGAGCGGGAAAGCTTACCCTCCACATCAAACACGGCAGAGTGTTCGTCCTGCTGCCGGGCTACAATACTGATTGACAGATCACAATCCCTCATATCTGTCGGGGGAGGATCACAACCCTGTGAGCCTGTCCACCGAAAGATTGGGTTCAACTCGGGAGGAACTGCACAGAGTCGCAAAGATCTCTTGACAGACTGAGGTCGTGCTTGTTTGCTGGATTGAAAAGAACAAACAAGAAAGCGTTTGAAATGAATGTGGGGGTGTATGTCCCCCACACGTGTGACTGACAAGTGTTTTTGGGTAAATGTCAGCTGTCAGATGCACTCTGCTCACCACGGTTATCCTGAGGGGTATGTTCATGGTAACTGCAGAGTGCATCACGGGCTCATCAGTAACAAAGGATACAGTAATAACACTCTCTGGAGGAGATGCGTACAAGCCTGGATGGGGCTTTATTGACCTTTTGCTGCAATTTCTGTTAATATCGGCCTTCAGTGGATTCATCACATTCGTGCTAAACCTCACAGAGCTCCGGCATATCCACAACATCAAAAGAGACCAGGGGCCACACAATTCACACAATACCAAAATTATTTAAGCATGACAGCGGCCAAAACCCTTTTGTGAGGGAGGTGAAGTGCCTCAGAGCTGTTGCATACTAAACACAAACGTGTAAATGTGAGCCACTTACAAACATATAATTTATGCTGATGCAAAATATTCATTTCTGTGTCCCTGTTTCCTGAAAAACAGCAGATGACTGTTTCTGGTTTAATCGTAGCAAGTAAGTACATGTCTAATTCTACAATCTCTAATTAAGGAAAAAAAAAACTTCTGAATGTAGATCATGAAAAAAATACAAATTGTCAACTTTAAAATACAAAATATAATCTTTGTCCATGCATTTTTAAAATAAAACTGATTTAATATTTGGCCTTAACACCGTGATGCTTAATTTACAGCATCGTGTTAAATCTACGGCGTGCTGTAGCCTGATGTGGTCCATCCCAGAAATGTAACTACATTCCTGTGATAGCTTGGTTTGGTATTAATACGTGGTTTGAGTGCAGTATAGATTATCACGAGGATAATACCTCAGTGAAACCAAATGTAATAGGCTGTAATTGTTGCTTATTGTGTTAATAAAACAGATTGTATTCTGCCCATAAAGACACAAGCCATTTATCATTCCCCTAGCCTTGACAACACATGTATTAAACTCAAGAATCAAAGTCCCTCCTTACTTCGTTTCAGTAAGAGTAACTGTTGTTTTGCAGGTAGCTCCAAGTGCAGGATGA